GGATATCATCAACTAAAGGTAAGAGAGCAGGATATCAAAAAGACTGCGTTCATAACAAGATATGGACACTATGAGTGTTTGGTTATGTCGTTCGGACTAACCAATGCTCCAGTAGCTTTCATGGATTTGATGAACAGGGTTTGTAAACCATACCTTGATAAATCCGTGATAGTGTTCATAGATGATATTTTTGATTTATTCAAAAAGCAAGCAGGAGCATGACAAGCATCTGCGTGAAGTGCTAGAAGTTCTGAAAAAGGAGAAGTTGTATGCAAAGTTCTCCAAATGTGAATTTTGGATTCAAGAAGTCCAATTTTTAGGTCATGTGGTTAACCAAGAAGGGATAATGGTTGACCCAGCAAATATTGAAGCTGTGATGAAGTGGGAACAACCAAAAAGTCCTACGGAGATCCGAAGCTTTTTAGGATTAGCTGGATATTACCGAAGGTTTATCCAAGGCTATTCTTCGATCGCTACTCCATTAACGGCTTTGACCCATAAAGGAGTTACTTATACCTGGAATGAGAATCATAAGGAAGCTTTTGAGAACTTAAAGAAGAAATTGTGTGAAGCACCGATTCTTTCGTTACCTGAAGGAGTTGATGACTTCGTAGTTTATAGTGATGCCTCTGGAGTTGGGTTAGGTTGTGTTCTGACCCAAAGGGATAAAGTGATAGCGTATGCATCGAGGCAATTGAAAGAGCATGAAAAGAACTACCCCACTCATGATCTGGAGTTGGCAGCGGTAGTATTCACCTTAAAGATATGGAGACACTATCTTTATGGTACTAAATGAAAACTTTTCACTGATCATAAGAGTCTTCAATATCTCTTTAATCAGAAGGAATTGAACATGAGGCAACGACGCTGGCTAGTGTTACTCAAGGACTACGACTGTGAGATACTTTACCACCCTGGTAAAGCAAATGTTGTTGCTGATGCTCTCAGTCGGAAGGTAAATCTTGAAAAGAAAAGGCCAAGAGCGTTGAGAATTGAAGTTGTCTCGACAATTGTGGAAAGTATAAAGAAAGCTCAAGAGGAAGATTTAGAGAAAAATGACCGAAAGGAAGAACGTTTGGGCAAAACGTTAGTGTTTGATACAAACGGTCAAAGACTGAAGGTATTCAAAGATAGCATTTGGGTACCTAAGACGGGAGGAGTAAGAGATCTTCTGGTGGAAGAAGCTCACAAAACCATGTATTCGATTCATCCCGGCAGTACAAAAATGTATAGGGATCTAAAACCCTATTACTGGTGGCCGACGATGAAGCTCGACGTTGCTAAGTATGTGGCCGAGTGTGTAACATGTGCTAGGGTTAAGGCACAACATCAGAAACCGTATGGGAGTTTAGAACCTTTGCCTGTACCCATGGGTAAATGGGAAGACATCACCATGGATTTTGTGACTAAACTGCCCAGAACAAAAAACGGTCACGACATGATTTGAGTGGTCGTTGATCGCTTCACTAAGAGTGTGCATTTCATAGCAGCCAACGAGAAATGGTCTATGGATAAACTTGCGAATTCTTACGTGAATGAAATTGTGAGGCTTCACGGTGATCCGTTAACGATTGCATCCGATCGTGATAGCCGTTTTACCTCAAGATTTTGGAGGAGTCTACAAGAGGAATTGGGTACCAAGTTATGTTTGAGTACAGCTTACCATCCGCAAACCGATGGTAAGAAAACATCAATCTAAGACTGATAGCTATGAGACTGCTAGTGGACGGAGAGGACTGAGTGCACGTTAGCTTGAAGCCTATAGCTATTGAGTTTGATTGTTGGCTTGAAGCGCAACGAAGTTCTCTATGTGTCCGATAGGTCGCTTGTTCGAATTTATATTTCTAGTAGGATTCCCGGCTAATCCCCTTCCCTTATCATTCTGGTCTTGGATCACACCTACTAACTAGTGCGCTGCGACGAGGACTCTACCTGCCTCTGCCTTTGGACCCGGAAGCATGGGTCACTTGGCTATAGTTAGACAGTCAAATCCGGTACTTGTATCGGGCGCACCTTCACCTTTAATTAAGTGAGTGGAGACATGTCTGCCCCTCTCGCTATCGGTGGATAAAACTGACGGTCTGATCTCTTCTCCGCCTCCTTAGCCAACCAAGCAAGCCGACGTTGTCGCCACCTTTAAGAAAGATAAGGCCAAAAACTGGACTAAATAACTCTGCTATCGCTCCCGACGCGGGATCTTCCAAGTGAGCCTCATCTAGACTATGTTAATTATTTCCGCTACTCCTTTTGAAAGACAAGAGTGCTCACCTTTCCTTTCTACTTTCATACCTCAACGAAAGAACTAGGGCTCTTAGATCAACTACACCCAGGGGCGAGACAGGAAAGAGAGGAACTGCGCCAACAACTAGATTCTAAAAGATGGAAGGTCGCTAAGCCTGATTACAGCACGAGTGAGGAATGAAGCTGATTGCCCATTTCAAACCTCGGGCTAAACTGCTGACTGACGAAATGACTTCTTAAGTGAAGAGTAACCTCTAAATCCCTCCAACACCAGCTTATTCAACACGACTGGGGAGGAGCTACTGAACTCCTACTGGCTTAATGGCATTCCTACTATCACTAACGGACTAGAAGCATGACTTCTTAGCTGGCTTACTACTTTCAGGACTATCGCACATGACAGGAGCTGGTTTGCTAGCTTATTATTGGACTGATTTCCGGGTACACAAGTTCGGGCTTGCAATGGAGCTGGCTATACTTGTTATGAAATGGGGAGGAGGATCTACCTCCACTACGGTATAGCTTCAACTGGATTCCCCACTATACACTACGAGAAGGGTATTGGCCTTTCCCGAAACAAAGGCACTTGCTAGCATGAAAACTTCCGCTCGTACATACTTTTCTTTCCGTTTCAACTTCAACCGCTATCTATAACATCTAAAAAGCTGCTAAAGCCCTACTCGCCTCAATTACATCGAGCCTAGCTTTACGGGTCAAAACCAACCCCATTAGGGGCTATGGAAAGAGACGCTTCCTTGCTTCAGGGACTCTCGAGAACGAATTGGGACTGAGACTTCCCTACCACTACCCTTTCTCAAGCTGTAAATGGGGAACTTGTTTTTGGAACTGCCTTTGATCTTAGGCTCGCAGCGACTAGGTGCGTACCCTTGAAACTATATCGAGGACGAAACTCTTCTTTTAACGCCCAAAGATAGGCCTCTGCAGCCCTTTCTAATGAAGATGGTGCATAGGCCTATCGAAAAGCTGTTGTCGTCATTTCTGTTCTTTGCATCTTCCCCGACCCCTCGTCACTGCTTTCTGATCATGTCTCTTAGAGAGAGAATCTTGTGAAGCTGAGATGTACAATCTGAGGGAGTCAGGTCTTTTTCAATTGAATCACTAGTCTACTTATTCTCACACAAACGATTACTTTAGGGGAAGACAATGGTTTTTGTTTTCTTCATATTCATGATGACCTTTCTACCCCACTGCTAATGTGGATTACTCTTATGTAGGATAGGTAAGGCACCCAGTACTATTAGCTAGTTTCTACCCATCTCTCTAGGTTGGCATCGAGGGAGTGATCCCTAGATCATGAGACTTGGTTAGTCTCGTGGATGAGGTCCAGGACCTTTATTCTACTGTAAGTCCCATAAAGGTACAGAAAGCATCAAAGCAGAGGAATAGCTATCTTTGATAAAGAAGAAGAGCAGCAAAGCAGCTAAGCAGGAATGAACCTTGTCTAATAGTATACCTTCTTCGATCTCCCGAGGAAAGACTCCCAGGTAGCAGTAGGCAAGTAGTTAATCATATCCCATTCTCTAATTATAACTCCGAGTGAGCTTTTCAAGGCTATGACGAGGTGCGAAGCGAAGCAAGGGTCCCAATTCTCCTGCAGTTTCGGAAGTTGGCTTCCTCTACCGAGGTTAGTTACTTTTCTAGGATTTGCATCCGGGTTAGCTCCTTTTCCTTGAGTCCAATGAGGATAAAGATTAAGTAGTCTTAGCCTCTATCTCCCTAACAGCTTCAACCTATCTTACTATGCTGTTAGGTTGCTGTTGTTCTTTGAAGTTAAGAATAGATTAGGACAGGTGGAATGGATTCCAGCAGTAGGATGTTAGGAATCTGGGTGTGCTATCTTAGAGAGGGCCTTTCTAACATCCCGAGTTAGCCCCAGTTTCCTGCTTCTAAACTCTTCCCCGCTTCCTTTCCTTTTTCTAACACAGATTGAGACGGTGTTGACGAAGTTGCTGCTAGGATCCTAGCCAAAGGTTTCCCCAGGAAGTAGTAGCCCCTGAGGAAGCCCGAAGGCATACCAGATAAGGATAAGTAGAGTTAGTATTGAGTTCATGGAAGACTCATAAGAAAAGGTATTCAGTCTGATAGTGCTTTAACTCATCCCGTCATTTATTAGGATTGAGAAGGCAATCAGACTTAAAGAGAAGACTTAAAGAAGCTAAAAGCAGATGTGAGTTGTAGTTAACAGGTAATCCAATATTAAGAATGTGAAATTAAGTCACTCTGGAGGCATGATTATATGATTGAATGATTCAAGCCTGCTAATCCGAGCTAAGAACAGGAAATGTCAGTGAAGAGAGCATTAGAGAGTAGTGATTCATGGTTGATGCATGGGAGAAGATACAAGGGAAGCTAGCCGTCAGAGATTCTTGCTAATCAACAAGTGACACATTCCTTTCTCAGAGAATTCCTCGTGCATCAAAAAACTTCTAGTAAAGTGAAGGAGACTCACTTCGCATGGAGAAGTTCAAAGCTTCCATGAGTAGTCGGATGGACATGCTTGCCAATCTTGAGTTGTCATCGGGTAGGGCATGATTACAGCGAGTGTTCGCATGACTTGGGACAAACCTCTAGAGTCTTCTCCTCCTTGCCGCTGCTGGTTAGGGGCAATCGACCGATCCACATTTGTTGATACGTATATGGATAGATAGATAGCGACTCTTCCTCACTCCTGCTAGTAAATAAACTATGGAAATACACCGGCATGTTTTTTCCCTATCTTAAATTGTTGTCACCCCCTACTAATCTGTAGGATTGTACACGACAACCTTACCCTCATAGTCCAGAGCAACCATCCTATTGCGACAATAGAGAGGCTCTAGCCCTAGTTCTGTATACTCGATTGAACAAGACAACCCGAGATCTTGTATCATATCAAATACTTGATATTCATCGATTCTTAGATCATTAGTACATGCTATAAAGACCATACCTATGAATCTTTCAAATGCAATCCCTGGATATTTATGGCTGAACTGCCGGTCGAACTCCATTAAGGTAAGATTGAATAAGACCCTAGTGATTTCTCCAACAATTGGCATACAACCGAAGCATATCTTTCTACCATCCTCATCAAAGGTCTCAAGATTTAGAAAGCTACTAACCAGCTTATAACAAACCGAATCTGCCCCAACAAAGGAGTTAACACCATCTAAAACCAGACTCTCAGGAATCAGTTGTAATGATGGATCCATGTTAATCTGGTACAGTCTAGTCACCTTACCCATGTTTTGAATACCAGAATAAAAGAGACCTAACCTATCTAATAATCTGTAATTCTCCTTGGGTACATAACCATAAGTCAAACGATAGAAATGGATACTCAATGCCATGAACACCAAGACATCCTCTTTTTTTGATGGAAAAACAACTATATAGTGTGAACTATCTCTGCTTGGATAAAACGTTAAGTCAGGAAAATAAGGTAGCGTTGCAAATAAAAACTCTAGTAGATCATCCCTACTTATTCTCCTGAGCCTTAGCGGAGATAGAGTGTAAAAACCTGAAAGCAATATCTGTTGAAGATTACATAACTCTTTCTTAGATAGATTATATTTCTGAGGGGTTTTAAAATCATTATACATAAAATCAATATCCTCTGATAGCTGAACTAACGAACTAGAAATTGTAGAATAATAAGAAGATCTTGCACATATCATAGTCAACTTATAAGAAGATTTGGATTGAATTGTTTCTTGTTTGTTTTTCATCTTTTTACTATTATTTCTTGTAATTCTTGAACTTGAAAAGTACTTATTAATTCTAAATCAGAAGGAGATGAATATGACATCATACCCATTCCGAGAAAGGCTGCTACTATGATCCCTAAACCAAGGGCCACCCTAGCATTGCTACCTTCAGCAGTGTTACCACTAGGAAGATGGATTTCATTGAACGGATAGACATTATCAAAGGCGGATAACACTTGATCTGATATATACTTATACTCCACATAACTCATTTTCATAAAGGGGGCTATATCAAATGAAACATCCTTGAAAGAATCATACGGAAGCTCTCTCGGTACTAAGATTCCTGGAGGTGCTACTTCTGGTACTCCAGCTATAAAGTTGTACCAGACAGTACAACCAATCCCTAAGCTAACAAATATGATTAAGCGCCCATACATACCTTTATAATATGTTATAAATTCTATTACTTTTTTATACGGGGTCCTGGTGAGAACATCTAAGCAATGGTGCAACCCACCCTTGAACCTGCTATTTTCAAACAAATCTGGGGTTGAAAAACGTAACATTTTTGATAACCCGAGAGATTGAAAGACATACATTAACATTTTCTTCGCTGAATTGCTCATTATAAATTCATATCTTTGGAAACGAGTATGCTCTGGAAAAAAACGGAAATATAACGCCAGAATAGCATCTTTAGCTAATTGAACTTTAAGTTGTTCAACATTCACAGTTGATTTGAAATCAGTAAGAGGAAAACTATTCACAGGTAGACTGTTACTTGGAAAACTATTAAGCAATTCATCCTTATTTACATGAGAATTCAGATTATTTCTGGGGGGGAGTATAAGTCAAAGGCTGGATTGGCTTAGGAATTGAAAATCGCAAATTCAGACCTCTACGCTTAGAGAACGTATCCTTTTTTTCCGAAACGATAGCTTTCCGGCAGCATTCCACCATTACCTGTGTAATATATATCATTTCTAGTGTGATTAACTCTCAATTTGTCAAATAAAAATTTCATTTTTTCTTTTATCATCTATTTAAAGAGTAATACTCGGGATTTTCTCTCTGCTTATGCCGCTAGCTTTTCCTTGAAGCCCCCGTAGGAATGACCAACTTTATCGATAGGCTTCCCTTATACTTAAGGACTTGAATAATCTCGATTCCGTAGGACAGGTTATCGATAGGCTCGAAAATCCTTATACTTAAGGAAAAATCTCGATTCCGTAGGACATATTTTCAATTCCGTAGGACATAAGAGTATATGAGGTGCCTTTACCCACAGAAATACTAGACTCAACCCAGACCATGAGAGGAACAAGGCACAGAGCCATGTTTATTCGGCCTTGGGACAGACATTATGGTAATTTACCCGACGGGGGGCTGCCTTTACCCAGAGCCAGTATTTCACCCCTGGAAAATGGTATGGTTTTGGATAACAATACCCCAGGGGACAGACAACGGTATTACTCTAAAGACCCAGGGAGGGTCAGGGTGACTTTTTTCTTTACTCAAAAGCCTGTTCAAGCCTTCTTTAATGGTTAGACTCTAGCCTCTAATAAAGATCGAGATAAGGGCATTTCTTTGAGAAAGTATAGGAGAAGCTTGATGCTTCAGATCCAACCCCGACAACTCAAACTTGTTTTTTGGCTAGCAAGAAATAGGCACTTGTTCTTACCTATCTAAACTCTATTTTGGCTTGCTATAAGATTAGTACTGGTTCTTACCATCAATCTCTTTCCTATCTAGAATGGTGGGTACATCAATTCTTGTTGATCACATTCATGGGGGAGAAGCACTGAAGGCTCTAGTCCGGGGGTTTCTTCTTCTTCGATTCAAGCAAGTCGACCACAAGGTGAATCGATGACCTGACTGAAGCCATTCCTAGCCACCATTACTTTCGAAAGAGTCTGTCTTTACTTTACCAGCTTCTCTAAGATATCAATCACTAAACTAAACAAAGTAGCAAAAATCATAAGAGAAGAAAAGTTCACAGAAGGTTGAGAAGTAGTACGCCCGGTTCACCAGGTTCTACCACTGTAGGGCCAAATCATAGTCAAAAGAAGAGTTTGATCCTGGCTCAGAAGGAACGCTAGCTATATGCTTAACACATGCAAGTCGAACGTTGTTTTCGGGGAGCTGGGCAGAAGGAAAAGAGGCTCCTAGCTAAAGGTAGCTTGTCTCGCCCAGGAGGTGAGAAGAGTTGAGAACAAAGTGGCGAACGGGTGCGTAACACGTGGGAATCTGCCGAACAGTTCGGGCCAAATCCTGAAGAAAGCTAAAAAGCGCTGTTTGATTAGCCTGCGTAGTATTAGGTAGTTGGTCAGGTAAAGGCTGACCAAGCCAATGATGCTTAGCTGGTCTTTTCGAACGAAGATCTTCAAGAACTCATATTGGACCGGGAATCAAAAAGGGACAAAAGTAAAGTATAAGCGTATATGGCACGAAAAGGAAATCGAATTTTGGTAAGACTTGGTCTGAATCGTAGTTCAGATTCAAGTCGGTTAAGCGGGGAAGGCCGCAGAAGAATTAAATTATTGTTCCAGTTAAGCGCCAGACGGGCGTGCATTCCATTTTTAGTTCCCATAAGTCTTCTTATTTTTTTTATCATCTTTGCCTCCAAATGGGGGCGCACTCATTCTTTTTTGATTTTGTCTCTAGGGTGGCCGGCTTCCTCGGAGTGAAGGCCGTTTCAGTACTGTTTTTAAAAATGGGCTGCCCCCGCAGCTCTGGCCTTCGTGATTGGCTGTGCTTGCCGAGCATTCGTCACTCCGGAGGCAAACGCCTCCCTCGGGCATTGGGTGCTTCCTGAGCCTTCTCACCAGCCTCACGTAGCAGAAGAGGTTCCCCACCAAGAGGGCCTGCGGGACCATCCTGTAGCAACCCGAAGCGCTCCGCCAGTGGATCTGGAGGTTAAGCAGCCGCTTATGGGCGACCAACAGCGGCACGAAGAGCTGGAAAATCGACTCAATCACCACTTCCTTGGCAAAAGTGAACAAATAGGTAGCCTAGCCTATGATGATTTGTTGGATAAACAGATCCTCATAGAGGAAAAGCTCGAAATAGCGCTACTTAACGAGGGTTTTAGTAGAGACCGGATTTTAGCGAATCGCTACGAAATTAGAGAACTTATATTTTATAAAGAGGGAGTTCCACTCAAGGAAGAAACGCTAGGGATGCACTTAGCCCAGATCCAAAGCGATCCTTTCTCAAACATCCCATATCGTAAAATCCAACGATCTATAAGGAATTTGGATCTGTTTTTTTCTAAGTATAGAAATTCTACGGTTGAAAGGGATGGTGAGTGCCCTGGGATTCACAGACAGATGTGGAGTCGTAACAAGGTAGCCGTATCGAGGGCGCGACTGGATTGAATCCTTTCATTTCAGGGGGGGGGAGCTCATGCTTGTTGGGTATTACCTTTCCTGGAGCCTCTTCTCACTCACACATCATATGATTGTGTGGTGGGCGGCATTGCGGGCCGACCCGAATCGGCGTGGACCCATTAAAGCTAGGCTATTCTCGGATATGCTGTTGTCATTGGGGATAGTACAGTTGCGAGAGAGTATGCACTGATCCTGCGCTGCTTACAAGTAAAGGTTTCCGAAAGGAAATCCCTACTTTCAGCACGCGGGGATCTTAATAGGATTGACAGGGGAAGGGTTATGGCTAAGGTTTCAGAATCCTCGCCATCTTTATTTATGCCTTACGCGCAGCATAAGTAGAGGTCACAAGATGATCTAAAGTCCAGATAAACCAAACCAGGAAACGCAGGCAATGGGGGAAATAACGACCTCTGGGGGCACGGAGTCGAGTGAGGCCAGATCTGAGAAAGCCGGAAAGCGTAGCAACCAGAGAACCATAAGTTGGAGTGCTGCAGCTCACAGAAAGAGACGTGGGAAGGGGCTTTCGGCCCGTGGACCCAGGCACCGATGCGTAGGCAGAATCCGGCTAGGGTGGAGACGACGAAAAGAGGGAAGGCTTAAATAAATAATCTGGTCTGGTATAGTAAGCCATTCTGACTTCCTTAAATAAAGAATAGTCAACATCGCGGAAGTAATGAACAGTGTGAAACCGCCCCCAGCACGAAGAGTGAGATCTTGCCTATGCAGTAGGATTCAAAGGAAAGTTATCCGAATAGTGAGACCCGTGAAGACTACTACTTCTGTAATAATAAAAAAAAAGAGGTGTTTGAAGCATATTTTCAAGCAGGGATTGATAGGTAGAGGGCTCAAAGCGGGACAGAAGGGCTTACAGGGCCCTGCGCTAAAAAAAGTCAACAAATTCTTTAAGCCAATCCCTTGCTGCTAACTAATGGCAGCCCCTTTATTGCTCCTTCCTAGGAACTCAGTAACGCGGCCAGTAAGTCAGCAGGTATTGAGGCACGCAGATCTTTTTTTAAGTCGGTAAGGCAAGGAAGGCAGGTTTCAGAGCTCGGCGGACGAAGACTTCCAACGCATATAGGTGACTAACCGCCTGTTCTCTCGGAAAGTAGAATCGCAGATTGAGCCTGCTCCAGCCCCAGCTTCTATTCAACTACGTCTTTGATGGCGCGGTTGTGTTGCTGCTGCGTAGTAGAAGGGTTGGGTTCTCTGGGGTTCAACAATGCGTCGGGCTGCTCGAAGGACTCCACGAAGAAAAAGCTGCGTAAATGATTAGCCCGATGAAATTGCTCTGTGAAAAAGGGGCCAGGGTTCCATGGGGTTCAACAATGCTATAGAAAGAAGGGAGAAGAGCAGGGTAAAGGTTCAGGGCGGTTACGATATTTGTGGCGGGAATGCGTGAGGGTCTGCAAGACAACGGGCACAAGGAGGCGACTGCCAATACTTCTGACTCTTATTCATAGAGATGACGAGTCTTATTTTCCTACTACTATAGGGAGGATATTTGGTTGCGCGAGACGATTCATTGCGCGAAGGGATTCTTGTTGGATAAGGTGTCTAAGTCCATAACTATTTCTGGTATGTACTTGACCCGACCCGGCATGGTCCATTTGGGTTGCATGGCATCATGCATTTGGATAGACTAAATGAGAGAAATAACACTTGTGGTTTATTAATATATTATAAGTTCTAATATATTAATAGTATTATTTAATTAGTATTGATCAAGAATTAATCTAGGATTAATTAAGTGATCAAAAGATGACTAATTAAATATATGGGTTGATCATGTAAATCATCCATAACTTGTATAGTGGGCTAAAAGGCTCCATGGATAATCAAGTTGGGTTAAACCCATTGAATGCTCCATGGAGGCTCCATGGGAGTTACAAACCCATGGGTCATGGAAATGAAGAGTCATGCCACATTAGGGTTTACATGGTGTAACCCTAGATGTGACACACTATATAAGCAACATGTTCTCCACCAAAATCGGCGACACTAAGAAACAAGAGGGCTAGAGCCGATTTTGCAAGTGTACGATTCTCTCAAAGTTTACTCCTTTGCATTTGGTGTTGTGTGAAGCATTTGAGGCATCACACTTGGGGTGCTAGGCTCACAAGGTTTCAAGGATCGTAATCAACAACAAGGTAAGTTATTCTATCTTTCATTCAAGTTAAAAATGTTCCCCATGTATGCTAGATAGGAATATAACCTTGGAATTCAACTTTGCATGATTATTAGACAAACATAGATCCAAGGTTATTAGGGTTGCGTGTACACTTAGGAATTGTTAGAATGCTCAAAACCCATCAGTGGTATCAGAGCCTAGGTTTGTTTGTTGTTTTTTTTGTGTGCAAACAGCTTGAAAAAAAAACCGTTTTTTCTGTTTTCTGCTCGTATGAAAGTTTGCACATTTGTTGCTGGAAATGGACTAGAAACATTACCCTAAACTGTTTTGATGTTTTAAAGCTTGTTTTAGATGGTGTAATGTTGATGCTAATCCATTTACAATGGCAATTATTAAAATTACAAGTTTTTTTTTAAGTGTAATTTTTGATTCTTGAAAGTGTTCATATTCATGTTCTTGAACTTATGAAGATTAGATGATCATAGGAATTGTTTGTAACCTTCATGGTAGTTTAATTCATGATCATAATATGTTTTAATGGAGTCCATAACTTGTCCTCAAGTTATGGAAAACCAAAAGTCTCACTTTTATTAAAGCCATTAAAAGAACACAAGAGTTATAAAAATGAAGAGTCTTCATTTTTATTACTCAATTAATTCATAAGTTATAAGAAATGAAAAGTTTTGGAAGTTTACAAAACTTGCCCTCAAGTTTTGGAACATGTAAAGTCTTGATTAAAACTTTAGTTCCAACCCTTAGAATTTTAAAAGTTAAAATTCAACCCTTAGACTTTATAATATTATAAGTTACTAATATATATATGTATAACGTCAAGTCGTCTTACCGCTAGTACGCCTCATTCACGAAGCCGGTCTATAAGGGGGGTATAAGGTTGTTGCCTATAAAATGGCAACTTAATGGGTGTCCACTCTCACCCACCGCTTCCTTGATCGGTGGAGGGTCGTTAGCCGAACGGGTAAGACAAGGACTTATAAATTCTCATTAAAAGTATGATGGATATTATAAAGTAACTAAATGCTTTTATTAAATTCCCAATCTTAGTTACTTTAGGAAAATGTGAATAAGGTGCTAATCCATGAAATTACACTTTACACTTTGTTTAAGTCGTTGGTGGAGCGTGTGTGGTTAACCGGCACACTAACTTGGACTTAACAAGGTAGGTAAAGGGTGACTTAAGGTTTACCATAGCATCGGTGGAGCGTGTGTGGTTTACCGGCACATCAATTGAGTGATAAACCTTGAGGGTACCAAGTGATTTGCATGGTTACTTCACACCTCGTTTTGTGATCCTCGGTATCCCAGTCACAAAACTTGGAGGGCACACTCGAGATTGAAACATGCCTTTGAAAAGTTCATTGAATCTCAAAAGAATCTAGGAATTTCTAAGAACCAATCTTGTTCTAATCCTAATGGCTCCTTTACCCTTATGAACTTGTTCTCTTCTTTCAGATGTCTTCAAACAATGCTGCTTCTGGCTCTAATCCTAATGGCTCCTTTACCCTTATGAACTTGTGTGGGAAAGTCATTTTTGATGGATCCAACTTCAATGAATGGATCAGAAACATCAGGATGATTACCCGCTACGAGGACAAAGAATATGTCCTTGACAAGGAGCTTAAGGAGATTGATGAGACCACTGCAACTCCCCAGGAGATCACTGACTTCCGGGCACATGAAAGGGATGCTACAAAAGTGGCATGCATCATGTTGGCCACCATGACAGCGGAACTCCAAAAGTCCTATGAGGACTTCTACCCTTTTGAAATGCACCAAGATCTGATGGAAAGATACCATCAAAGTGCACGACAAGAGAGGTATGAAATCATATGCTCTATCATAACAACCATGATGAAGGACGGGGAATCCGTCACGAGCCACATGCAGAAAATGCAAAGGTATGTGGATCGGTTGCTGAAGCTTAATGTGAACTTCCCTGAGGAGCTTGCAATAGATATCATTTTGCACTCCTTACCATCGTGCTATGATCAATTCCGCATGACATATCACATGAATAAGGAAGTGGTCACACTCAGCAAACTTCAGGGACTCCTCAAGACCGCAGAAACAGGTCTTAAGGGTAAGTCGGTTGTTAACACTCCTACTCCAAACTCCGCCCCGGTTTTGGCAATCGGGAAAGGTAGAGGGAAGAAGAGGAAGAGCTCTTCGAAGGGTACCAAGGCTAGGACCCTTGATGGCTCTTCTTCAAGTGGAACCAAGAAGGTTTTGTCACTCCTTCTTCTGACCCTAAAGAGGCTGAATGCTTCTATTGCCATGAAAAGTCACATTGGAAGCGGAACTGCCCAAAGTACCAGCAAGATGTGAAGGATGGGAAAGTTAAACCCAACCATGCAGGTATTTACACTATCTTATCTAATAACTCACCCCATTCTAACTCTTGGGTCCTTGATACCGGTTGTGGTATTCATATCTGTTCTGATTTGCAGGGACTAAGAAGAAGTGAGAATGTGGAGCATGGAAGAATAAACTTAATCATGGGGAATAGGAAAGCTTTACCTGTCACCAAGATTGGAGTTTATACTTTATCGCTAAGTAGTGGGTTTAGTTTAGATTTGAATAAATGTTGTTATTCGCCAGAAATGGCAAGAAATATTATTTCCTTTCATGCATTGTATAAACAAGGTTTCACCTTTTCATTTGATAATGAAGTTGGTTCGATTAATGCTTTCTTTAATAATGTTCTTTATTTTAAAGCATTACCTTGTGATGGTGTGTATGAAACTGTATCTGTGGTTGATAACTTAGGAAATAATGTATTGTGTATTGATTCTGTTAATGATAATAACTTGGATAAAGCATCATTATGGCATTGTCGTCTTGG